CGTGGCAAGTGTGCTTTCAATTTTGCGGAGACACGCAAAGCATGCACCACATGTTTGGGTCGGGCGCAAAGATTGTCAGCGGTCGCTCAAAACTGTTGGCAATAGCGTTATAACGGAACAAGTATTGCACATGACAAGCTGAATTGCAACTGCGGGGGCACTCAAACGTGTTCTACGCTTCTTGTGTCTTTCTGGGGTCGGATTTGGCTTCACTTGAGGCACATTCTCCAAACCCCCAGCAAAGGGCCCTTGTCCCAAATCAATAAGTGTTGTCGAAAATCCCCTTTTCCCAATGGCAGCCATTGGGGGCTCGGAGCACAGACAAGCATCCGCTCCAAGTCCTTTCAAGGTAGCTCTCAAGGGTGGAACTGCGCTGCTTACTGCGTTCTGCAGACCCTGCATGTAACACTGCAGCAACCTGCAGACCCTGCGACCTGCAGCAAGCATGCGGACTTTGCAGCAAGCCTGCAGGCCCTACAGCCTGATGCAGCAAGCCTACAGCTGCAGGGTCTGTAGGCTGTCAGGTCTGCTACACGCGCTTAAGAGATGCACGGTTGGATGCCCAACGCGCAACCCTGTCACCAATCTCACAACTTCGGCTCTGCGCTAAGTTAATGCTGGAGAGATTGAGAGCGGCTATGTTGCCAGGTTATGCGTTGCAAGATGCGCCTCTAATGTTTACGCACCTACAAGCTTGATGTAGACCACTATACAGGCTGCACCAAGTTGCTTAGAATGTCCGGGTTTTGTAAAAGACAAGTGCATTTTTGTTTGGCCGTGGTCTCCTGGTCCACTTCTCTCTGAAGTTGTCCTTTTCCTGGTTTGCGTGGTTAATAACGTTGTGCAATTATCTTGGCTTCTGTGCGTACGACGACAACGACAACGACCACGACAACCCACGACGACCACGACAACCACGACAACGAAGATTACGACTAGTGACTAGTTCTACCGTCGTAGCACAATTTGACAATATTGCCCGTCTCATTACTGTGTCAGTGTCCGTTGTTCGCGATGCTTGTGGCAAACTGAGATACTAGGAATGTTATTTATAAAACAGGGAGATGAGTATTCGTACTTACAGTATCACGATGTTCAGTATGCTTTCGTAGCAAAGCAGCATTGCTGTTTGTATTCCGTCTCTTCAATATGCATCTTGAAACAAATCCTGTTGTTCTTGCTCGAGACCTTTCTGATAGTACTATGATTGCTCATTTTCGCCTTCAGCGAGCTAAGCAACGACCCACTCCTCATGCACCAAGAGACGCTAGCAGGATCCTTGGTGTTGAAGAAATTAAGAGCAACACACATCGATATCGCGTCGACCTTAGAAGAGTGTGGCGCTTCGGCTTCTTCGTATAGGTTTGGCAATTGGGGGTCCGTATTGCGGGGTCTGTGGCCGGAGGTCGGTTTGACGAAGATGCAGAAACTCCGGCTGGGTGAGCGGCTTACGATGCTATTTTGCAGACGCTCATTCTGCTCACGTAGTATTTTGAATGTCTGACTTGGTCTTGGTTGCGATTCAACTTGAAGATTTTTGCTTGGGCCAAGATCTTGCGAATTTCATGCAGCGGCAGTTCATAAAGTGTATGGCTCGCGCGACTGTCGTTTATTTTGTTTTGCTTTATATTGTGCGGTAGTACAAAGCAAATCGTACATGTTGCTTGGCACATAGATCATAGGATGCAGTATATAGTATGCAATTGGTCTATGGTATATGATGTATGGTAAACTCCAGAAATAGTATGTGCAGAGTAAACAAGGTCAGAAGCTCTAACCTGGCCTGCGCCTCATTCCAGTCAGATCCGCTGCCAGGGGTGCTGTCAGTTGCTGGGTTTGGACCTTCGGCATTTTGCAGGCGAGGTCCCTTCAACGGCATTCAACGGCACTCCAAAACACCCCCGTGCGTCCAAGCTTTCAAGGAAGAGTTGGATCCATTTGGACATATGCTAAGCCTCTTACACCCTGAGCCCCGAAAGCGCTTGAGACCTCAACTCCGAGGCTACGTAGGCGACATAAGCCATTGCCTCGTGTGGAATTCTTTGGGGCAGAAAGTCTGACAGTAGTCCTGCAAGCAACATCGGTTTCGTTGAGCTTTGGGAAAGCTCCTGGACTTCGTCCTGTTGCTGTAGGGATGCATATTTTCCTTTTTTCTGGTGAAGCTACGGGGAGTCAGACCTTCGCTCACTCCATAATTAATTCTTTTGGAGGACTCGAATTGCGAAAAAAGTTTTTTTTAAACATGTAAGGGTGCCCGTTTTCCCTCCTAGAATGCAGAGAAGTCTCTCCTTCCCCAGGCACGCAATTTTCCGGTGAGTGGCGGCCCCTACGCGGCCCAGGCGGGTCTCGGTTCATAGGAGTGGGGTTTGTGGGATGCCCCCTACAACGAGGATCCCACGATGTCCACGCTGCGCCAACCAATAATCCTCAGCGCCCATCGAAGAGCCGTCCGTTGGCTTTCGGAGCGCACAGGTCCCCAACATAGCCTTTTCTTTTGTCTTTTGCACCCGCCCTGCATACCCAGTAAGTCGCAAAGCCCTAAACCACCCTGGAAGCCCTAAACCCTCAGCCCTACAAACCCAGCTCCAGGTGAAAACCCGGTGAAGACCACCGGGTCCCGAGCTATTCCGAGTTGCAAGGGTTTGCCTTCCAAGTCGGCGTGGCGGCGGGCTGCGGCTGAGGGCTTGGGGTTGGGATGGTTTAGGGCCGGGAGGTCTTATAGTTTGCAGGGTTTAGGCCTCAAGGCTTACAAGAGTTTGCCGATTTTTCTGGATTCCAGGGCAGGGTTCTTGCGCATCTAGTGAAGTCCCGTCATGATGGCGTCTCACAGGCCGGGCTTGAAGAACAGGACTTGGAGGGTTCACGAGTGTATGCTTCAGGGTTTGAGGTGCAGAGATTTTTAGGTTTCTTGGTTCCGGCTGTTGGGTGTTGGAAGTTTAGGGTAGATTTGAGGGTTCAAGGTCGAGGTTTAGGGCTTCTCTTTCAAGCATGTACGTCGGCTTGGAGGGCGATCACATGATGTTTCACTGGCCACCCTGAAACAGGTACACTCGTGCACTGTTCGTATCGTGTTCCAGCACAATCGGCTGCCTCAGGGTCACCTCCTTTGAGAAGAGCCTCTGACAGGTGTGTGTTTCGGGATTAGGGTGCATTGCACAGGAAGAGTTTCAACGCTCCCGAAAGTGTTGGCTACAGCAGCTCAGCGCCGCGCAGAGTTGCGACCGTTTCACGCCTCAGATCGCAGCAGTTGTACATAGGAGCAAACAAGAGCCCGTTGAATGTGCCGTCGAGGATGAGAAAGCCGACAGAGGACATGCATTCTTGAAAAGGATCATCCGAACGGTCAAGGAGGCTACACTACTAAGGTTGGCGCAAGGTGTTAGAAGAAAGCGTCAATAGCATCGGCTGCTTCCTGACATCATAGCTCCGACTGCCTGGGCCTACGGCCGCCTGCGTGGAGTGACTGACTTTGCGCTTGAGCACCGCCAATGAGCGGGTGCTCTCTAAAACGAGCTGTGGTCAAGATGGCCAAGCATGCGCTTGTTGTGCGCCTGTGGCGCGACGCAGATCCATTAGGGGCCTTGACGGCTGAACCCAGCTGCTCAGGCCTCGTCCGCCCGCTGAATGCACAATAGAGGACCTCCAGGAACATCGCAGTGTCTCGTGTGGTCACGCTCCTATTCTTGTGCAGTCATTTAGCTTTGCAGCATGCTGTCACACTCTTGTGTCATAGGCTCCAGTGTTTTTGATTTGCAGATTTGCAGCATGCAGTGACACTCCCGCGTCCTGAGCTCTGGCCCGTTTTGTCTCATATGGTCACTCTTGTGTCCAGCGTTTACACTTTGTGGCAGTCGGTCGCGCTCAAACTCCTATGTCTTGTGCAGTCATGTAGTTTGACTTTGCGGCCTGCGGTCACACTCCCGCGTCCTGGGTTCTTGCCTGTTCATGTGGAATGTGGCCACAAGCCCGTGTCCTGTGCTGTCTTGTGTGGCCTCGTCGGCCCCCTTCATGCCAGGTACGCAAGAGTCGAACTTCCCCCGCACCCACGAATGCAAGCGTGCAATAATTGGCATTTCGCGGCGATGCATTTGATTTTGTCGGTGGGTGCTGAGGCCTCGACCTGCTTAATGGAGTCGCAAAAGTCATCTCGTGAGCGTCTGAAGGTTAGCATGTGGAATCGCAGGTTTTGTGAGCGAGAAGACTTGCTTGAATCTGCCAGGTACGCAAGAGTCGAACTCCCCACCCCCCCTCACCCACGACTGCAAGTCTTGCCCGCTGGTGTGCTATACATATACCAGAGTTTTGTTTTGAGGCAAAATTTGACACAAGGGGCTTTCGCTGGTGTACTACGTTCCCGTAGAATCCTTCCCTTTCGGGTTTGGGTCTGGATTGTGTTTGCGAGTCAATCCCGGGCATTTGTTAGACGCTGTTTTCCAAGCAGGCTTTACGTTCCTTCTCACATTGTCCCTTACCAGCGTGTGTTGAAGTTCTTCCGACAAATGTTCTTGGACCACAGCATTTTGTTGTCACGAGCACGCTTGGCTGCAACAGCGGCAACTGATGTTCAACTGCCAATGTGTTTGATTGAGCTGGTTCAAGTCATGCCATGTCGTGTTAAAATCCAAGAGAAATGGCTTGGATCGATTACAGCAAGAACAAAATACACGAACATGGCACAAGATGGCGGGCCACAATGCCATGTACCAATTTTTGTTGTCGAGTTGCACTTACAATAGCAATCAATAGCACTTACAATATGGTATGAACAGCCACAGGATGGGGCGTTTATGGGCCATCCTGTTTTCTCGCCATCCATTGCCATATATTGCCATATATCAAACAGCATATGCAAACACCGTGATCGGTGCCTCGTTGCCCCCTGCTGAAGTTGGTAGCAGCATGCCACCAACTGTGGCGGTGACATGCTTGTGGATCTGGATTGCAGGACGGGCTATCGCAGGTGCAACACGTACCTTCTCTGTGGGTAGCATGCTTGTCAGGATCCCTCTTGAACATTGTGCGCGCATCGTCTGGGAAAGGAAGCGCGTCAGGGCCACAGCAGTAAACCAATTCTGGAGACCGTGAGTAGTCTTGGGTTGAGGAAGCGGCGCGGAAACGAAGGACGAAGCGGTCTGCGGTGTGTCATATGCCGGGAGCCAGGATCACAGGCTACTCCCGCGGATAGGGAGAGTGACGCTTTTGATGTAAAAGTGACAGTTTGATTGCTGCCATACCAGGCCAAAAGCTGTCATGGGAAGCGAGCTCCGTGTGGATCCCATGCAACACGTTTTTTCTCTGGTTGGTTCACCGTCCTTGTTGAACCTAGTTGTCCAAAGACTTGCAGGTGTGGAGGCAGGCCAAGAGCACCAAACCTGGAAGACACGCTCTCGGCAGGGGGCAGGGCCCAGTCTCGCAGTTCAGGATTTAGGAAAAGGCTGCAGACGGTTTCAGAGTTGATGTTTTTGGAGCTCTGGGTTTGGAAAATCTTGGCCGTAAGTTGCAGGTTTGGGTTTTGTGCCGAGGCCCTTACCACTACATTGGGAGTGCTCCTCGTGGTAAGGCACAGAAGGGAAGAGGGACGCTTAGGAGCTGTTAAGAATCATGGCTTAGCCGCAGCCTGGACATCGTAGCAAAGAGAGGACGAACCATGACGAACCCTGGTGGACATATGCGTCAGCCTTCTGAAGCCAAATGCCGAAATCGACATTTTGTGTGTTTGCTCGTCGCAGCCTCCTGGTTATTTGGCAGTAGGTTTCCAGGTTTGGGCCTGTGCTGCCTGCGCTTGAAGTTACGCTTGCGACACCTTCCTTGAGATATGATACTAAATTCATTCTCAAGAAGGGCCACTAAAGAGAGGCTGATCGAGAGCAAAAAAGCTCTCCTTTGCATTCGTGTGAGAGCCGTGAAAACATCTTTTTGTTGCGATGCGTTGTCTTGAACATTTCCTCGTGGGCATCCGGTTTCACAGACAAACAAAGCGTCGTTGACCTCACACAAAATCTTCAGATCTTGCTTGGTCCCTGACACTCTGCAAGTTCTTGGTTACTGCATGCATCTGGCAAGTGAAACCAACGTCTTGTGCAAGTTGACCGTGTGGATCATGAGCTGCACGCTTACCGGAAGCAATACTTCCGCGGTGCCAAACTTTATTGCCATTGGTTTGCCAACTCCTACCTACTCCATGTCATCTACAATGTCTTGGATGGCTGTTCGCACTTCTTCGCCTGCTCGGCATCCTGGTCCTACGTCTGCCCAGTCTACATAGCCATGCTCGTTGACGGTCGCAACATGCAACAACTTTTGCTTCAGGCTGATGCTATCAATCCCATTCAAACAACCGTCGATTTTGATGGCCACCTTGCTTCGTTTCCTTTCAATTGCTGAACGGTTCTGCGGTCCATAACTTTGCCTCACGCATGACTTTGCTTGCTTTCTGCGTGCGAACAAATTTTTGCATCTTCACAGGCGACGCAAATTGAGGGAAAACAACTGTTGACGTTGAACTGGTTCTGTAAACTTCCGTGAAACCATCGACGCCGGACGACCGTCCTTCCGGCCTGAACGGACACAGGCCCCCAAATGCACTCCGGTAGCGTCCGAAGCTGAGACAGTTTCCGACTCAGTGCTGACACGCCGCTTGCGACGCCCAGGGCGGGCAGTGAGGGCAGGGCGACGCCCCCTTGATGGACATCGTCCACGAAAAAGCGCCTTCGAACCGCGTACATGTGCCGCTCCCCAGACATGCGGCCGTGCCCACGCTCGCTGGATCGGTTCGTGCCCGGTGATGCCGCGCCCACGTACGTCGACGAAGCCACGCCCGGCCACACGCCGCCGCAGTGCGCCCCGCGCTTCCACTTCTGCAAGGCGTGTCGTGCCTGGCAGGCTGTGCCCGACGTGGGACTGGCACACGATGGTATTGGCGTGCTGCCGACAGCGGCGCAGTTGCGTGCGCATCACGCGATGATTTTTGCAAATTGTCATGGGGCAGGAATCTGTAAGGAAAGGATCGCCCGTACCCTAAAAGGGGACGCCTCCGGGCGATCAGGCCTCGACTCGACCCGACGCGGGGTGCACCGGCGGCTTGGTTGGCGTTCACATCGATATCTAGAGCAATTCACTGTGCCAAGCGAGGCAAGGGTGGCCCGAGGGTCTTCTTCCAAGGCAACCCTCAAGTGCGCTGCCAGTGCGTGTCCCCGCTCTCGCTTGCAGCGCGTACTGGAAGGGTCGCATGGCGGCGTCGAATACGTTGGCCCATTGTTGGGCAATCGTGCGGGACACGAGGCGTCGGAAGACAATCGCAATGCCTCCAACACCCCCTATCGGTTTTTGCAAGGCTGCGAGGCGGGCCGCCATGCCAATGGCACTCCCTGTGGCAGCAGGCACCTGGGCGTGCACTAACTGCGTGGCCGCCCCGGCCAAGAGCTCCAAAGCCTCATGGTCACCCAGCAACACCCCAAATTGTTCGGCCCAACATGCAGGAAGCGCTGGACCTTGTCGGGGATTGGAGCTCGCGGTTGTGAGGGATGCTTGACGGGGTCGTAAGCGCCGGGTAGGGGTCGTAAGCGCCGGGTACGTGGCTTCGTCACCGGGCACGAGGGCAGCGGCCATGAGGACCTGGCGAGCACGCGAAATTTAGCCTCGTCGCACCTTAGCGCACGCGAGCTTGCGGCGGTGCGAGGCTACGTCCCCCTTCCGGTTCTTGCTGGTTGCGGCTGGCGCAGCAGCGCCTGCCACGCACCGCGGCGGAATGAGGCCGCAACCCGCTCCATTTGCCTTCCCTAGACCGCAGATGCGTGCATGCGAGGAGCGTGTGTGGCGTGAGCAAGAAAAGTTTCCCGCCGCTTGCGATCCCCATTCATCATGCTGATCGCAGGCATCGCGGAGTTCTTGTAGAACCTGCAGGAGTAACGTCCCGCATCACGTAGGAATCCGGGGATATCCTACAGAGTTGGTATTGGCCGCCTGAACTCGTCTGGCAAACTCGGCCCAATGCCACGCCCATGCCTTGCGCCCCCAGTCGGTCGCCGCGCGGCGGCGCGCAGCGCAGTCGCGTCGAGGTCACAGGAAGCCGCCGGCCTGATCATTCCAGCGCCTAGTATAGAGGCGGCGAGTCTGCGACGCGAGCCTGGCTTCGTTCTCGCCCGGGGCGGGTGTAGAAGGGCAATCGGCCCATCCCTCGGCTTGGAAAGTGGCTCTGGCGGCGCACTAGGCGGCACGAATCGCAGCCTGTTGGCCGAGCCTGCCAACGTGGCGGGAAGGAAAACCAACGCGCGCACACCGCGATCCAATGCTCAGGGGCGCCCCCCAAACGGCGCATCAGCGTGTACAACTCTGCGTCGTGAGCGGCCCCGCCGGCTTACAATGCTAGAGGTTCCCACTTCAGAGGACCTCCGCAGGTGCTCCCGTTGTGCGACGGGCCGAAGGCTGCGAGCAAGGACGCCTCCGTCATGGTAACGTCGGCAGGGGCCTTGCCGTTGCCCGCCTCACCGCCCTGGGCGTGCGTGGCATCGCCACGTGCGACACATTCCGCCGTTTGGTCGCCAAAGCGCTCTCCAGGCGAGTGGGCCGACAAGTTCGACCACGCGACGCGACCGTTCCAGTTTGCGCTGCAGGCGCGCGTTGGAATTGACTGACGCCCTCGCAGCCCACGTGCGCGCCACCTTCGTTGTACTGGTGTCGCTGGGCCGCAGCGCGTACGACAGCATGTCACGCGCGGTGTTCCTCGGCAAACTCCGTGAGGTGTTTTATGGGGGCCCCTCCCGGCTGCTGCCGAGACATGCCGAGACGTTGCCAGGGTGAAGGGTTTGAGCAGGGGGATGCCCCCGCTCCCGCTCTTTTCGCCCTGACGGCACGGTGCTCTCCAGCAGGCAGCGGGGGGGGGGGGTTACATCCCGACGACAGTCTTGTCGCCATCTTGGATGACCTTCATATCATCACGACGCCGTCGCGGACAAGAGCTGCACATGACGCGACAGGGCGCGCTGTTGAAAATCAGTGAAAAGTAGTGTGGCATCGCATAAAACATTGGCAAGACCCGGGCCGAAGTTGGTTCTCCCCCGCTCCGCCCGGGGTGGCTGAACTGGGTGACGACGTAGGCGACAGGCCCGATGCCCAGCACGGCGTCGTCGTCCTCGGCTCGCCTGTAGGCAGCCGAGGCTGTGCACGGAGCAGGTGCTTTTTGGCCAGCTGCCCAAGCTCCCTGACCTGTAAAGCGTCTGGCTGCTCCGCTACTCTGCGCGTCCCCTCGCGCCAGCCATGCTATTCGCCGTCGGCATTTGCGGAGTATGATGGAATATGCCTGTGGACATGATGATGCGATGTGGGCAACGCTGCAAACAATGCTGCAGCTCGTGCTGCAAACTCCGCACGTGATGCCGCGCCGAATCCTGAGCTCACTGTGGTGCGACGGCGGCATATGACGTTGTCAGCCGACAGGCCATCCTTGCAGCTTTGCAGGCTTTGCCCGCGACTTACGCCCTGCTCCATTTCGCGTGGTTGTGGTATGCCCAAGGGCCCACATCTGCATGGTCAGCAGGGTCGTCCACCCACCTCATCACCCAGGCATAGGGTGGGGAGCAGGGGGACCCACTCATGCCGGCCTTCTTCTCTCTTGCCTTGGCGCCCGCCTTGCGCTCTATTCAGAGCCAACAGAGCATGTCTTTGCTTACCTGGGCAACGCCTACATCGCGCTCCTCAGCTCGTGTTGTTCACTTGTGCCGCCGTCTTCCGCACCACTGCCTTTTGGAATGCCGCCGGCATCAGTCCTCCCAATTGCAACGAGCTCGCTTCAGGCTCCGCAGTTTGGTTTGGCGATCCCTCAGCAGTGACGCTTTCGTTGCCGCCGACCTGTACCACGTGCGCATAGACGACCATTGGCGCCTCGACCTCGTAGTCGCACTGCAACTATGAGGCTGCTTTTCCTCGCGCTCCGGAGCGCGGTGCCCGCTAGCTAGACCTGGACCGCGTGCTGGACCTCGCTACTGACAAGGGTCCCAGCCTTCTGCCTCTGCGGCCCTAAGCCCTGGCATTTGTGAGCAAACGTAAACGTACTTACAAAAAACAAACAACCTTCCCAGCAGCCTCCCGGGCTGCCCTGCACAAAAAGGAAGCTTGTGACCTTCCGAGGCAGAGGCGGGAAGCGCCCTGGCGCCTATGCCGGGTGCTCGCTCGAGCCGCATTATGCAGACCTCTCACTTGCGTCCCAAGCGATGCAGCTGTCGCAGGCAGGCCCAAATGCTAGCCGCTGCATCTGTGTCATGCCGACACATGCGGATGCCGCCATTCTTTGCAGCTGGCTGCCCGGGGCACTTCGACGCCCTGAGAGACCACCGTGCCGCTTGCGTTACATTTCGGGCCCTCGCTGCATGCACGCGCCATCCCTCTTGAGCGCGCTCTTGCGACAATTTGCCACGAAGCTGGAGCTCGGCTTATCAGGTTAGTCGGGCGTGACGGGAAGTGCCGCGACGGCTCCCAGGTACTGTACGTGATCACACACAAAAACGTGACAGCAACCCCATCCACGCTTCAGGCGGGTCCACTAGTATGGCACCACCAGCAAACGTGAGTGAGGTGCAGCACTTAGGTCACAGCTTCTAG